TTGACGGTCATTAAAGCCTGCACCAACTTCTTTGTCGTAACTGCTAAGTGCATCTTGAGTATAAAGTACGGAGTAGTGCAATGTTTGAACAATTTTTCATGCCTATACATGTCGCCATAGAATATGTTACGATTTTACTCATCGCCAGTCTTACTAGTTTTATACATAGAAAAGGATTGGAATAGCAGTATGGCAATTTCAATGGTCTCAACCAGATCCCTACATTGGAAAAAACGCCAGTTAAAAGAAAGAAGTCTAATTCAATTAGAAAAACAGGAAGATTGAAGCAAAAAACTGTAACTAGCAGAAGTCCAGTAAAGAGTAAATGAATCAAACATACTTCTAAAAGCTCGATTTGCACAGGTTTCACACTAGATATACGGGCTTCTAGATATTGCCCTACAGCAACTCGACGCGACAGCGCCGACAGAGGTGTCAACAACTGGAGAAAGTTGTTCAGTATCAAGTTAGAATAGTAACAGAATTATCGTACCTGTAAATCCAACCATTCCAAATCTCGTTTAATTCTTGTAGCAAAGCATAGCGGTTTTACATAAGCGCCAACAACATCATATCTCTTCACTTTTACAATAAGGATGTCTCCAACGCGAGCGTCCTCTTCGAATTTTTCTATTGCGCTGAAATTTGCTGATATATACAAAACGATGGGGCTTTATAAGCTGAAAAAGAAATAAATGATCTTTCACAAGAAAATTTCAATTTGAGATTAATACTTCGAAGATTTGTTAAAAAGATTGTTAGATTGCATTCGAGCCTAGCGTAAATCCAGATCACAACCTCGAACAAGATGATACCGCAAAGTTTACCCGAACCTTGCTCAGGACTTAACAATAGCATTACCCGCAAAGGTCATATAAACATTGCCACACAATGGTCCGGATGACCCCAGTGAGGCGTAGCTTGACCAGCTGACCGCAATTTGAACATGTTCGCTCTAAATGGGATGCCGCAGCATTGACCGTTTCATAATTGCGTATTTTGAAACATTGATGGATAGCTAGGGTAGTCTAGCTGCAGATTAAGCGAGAAAGTTCGCAGTTCTCGATGATCGCAGAGAGCACTCTGATAGATTGAAACGAAAGGGCAAAAAGT